AACTGATAAAATAAATTTGTAATTATTATTAATTTTCTTTAATTTTTAAGACTCTTTTTTGAGACGTAGAAATTTGCTAGAAATCAACTTTCTCGAAATTTTATAAATGTTATTTATAACGTTATAATTAATATAAAATACAATAATTATCAATTTTATTACAGAAATATATACTTGTATAAAAAATATTTCAATAAAAGCATAACATTTTGTAAGTAAAATAAAAAATAACATAACTTATTAATTATTTGGTATTTAATATAATTTTATTTATTACTCAAATTTTCAGTCAAAATAATATTCTTACAATAAATCTAAAATTAATGATGTTTTATATTAATTATATTGTTAAAAATGACATTTATAAAATTTCGAGAAAGTTGATTTCTAGCAAATTTCTACGTCTCAAAAAAGAGTCTTAAAAATTAAAGAAAATTAATAATAATTACAAATTTATTTTATCAGTTATATTAAGTACAAACAAAGTGCTAAAATAAATACCAAGAAAAGTCACTATCAATGATCATAAACAGGTTGTTTTGATGACAAAAATGAATTAGATTTTAAAACTAATTTATTAATTAAATCACTAGAATTAACAATAAAATTAAAAATAATTGGAAAAATAATTAACACAATAAGTGTATATACGAATTATTAAAAGGATCTATGGAAACAATAATTCACCAGAATTAAAAATACAATAATAAAACATTTATAATTAATAGCAATAATAATGATTGTTATTTCCCGTCAATTGTAGTGCAATAAAAGTGTATATAAACGGCAAATGTTTTGACAAACTTTATTCACAAACTTATCAAAAGTTTATAATAGTTTTGAAGACTATATCTCTCGAAGACTACCTCAAAGACAATGCAATTCAAATCATTGGTGCTTTTGATGGCTCTGTTGGTGGCACTCATGTTGGCTCAGGTATCCCATGTGAGCGCCGGCTATCTATACGGAGGGTATGTGTTGTATATTTGCTTATAATTAAAAATTTGTATGTTTAAATAACAATTATACTTATTAATTACAAATATAACCATTATTAATATTCAATAGATATGGAGGTTATGGTAGATATGGTGGTTATGGCGGATATGGAGGTTACGGCGGTTATGGCCGGTAATATAAGATAATGAAAAAATTTTGTTATAAATTATTAATTTATGTACATCTAATACAATTGTTTAACAGTGGATACGGGGGTTATGGTGGATTTTATGGATAAAAATTGAACATGGCACATCATTATCACGGATTTTTGGATTTAATTGAAAAATAGTTATTTCTAATATTAGTTTTAAATTTATTATTATTTCAAAATTGATTATTTATTTTATGTATACATTAAATAAATATTATTTATTATTTAATATTTTCAAAAAATAAAATAAATAAATTATTTAAAGAATTTTAAAAACAATGACTACCATTAATTAATTAATTAATAATTACAAAAACATTTTTTAAAAGTTTCTACTTTATCACTTGTGTGTGTTTTTTATACAATTAATTAACTTTTAGAATTTAATTAAATAATATATCTATGCTTTGCTTTCACATTACATTTACAATAATTTAATTAAAAACATATTAGCTATAATAATTGTTTAAGTTTTTACATATTGGGCACTAAAATCACAATTAACTAAATTCATATCAATTTCAATCAAACCCGAGTCCACACATAACAGTACACAACTGCTGACCAAAACAAGTAAGCATAATAATTATTAATTAATCATGGCCACTTTTATACTTTCATTTTTCTAATTATGGTAATTCTTCAACAGTAAACACTATTCAACTCAAAATCTAAGACAAACCATATGTGGTGTTCAAAACACAGCCATTCATTACAACTCTAACCACCGGTTGATTGCAACTAATGTCTGACCAAACAGTCGTCGGTATTATCACCGAAACTGTTCCAAAAGTTTGGAAAAAACATGATATGACTGTTCACTACAACACTGGCCAACACTATCACTATCTATGGGGACAACACTGTTAGCGCAGTTCCGATCGTTGTCTCTATGGCTGAACCCAATGCTGAGCCGTACGCACACTATCATCGACTCCGAAGCTCAGCCCTACCCTATCTTAGCCTTAGATAAAGATGGGCTAAAACACTATCTATCAGTAGCCTAAACACAGACAACCTGTCCTATACTGACCGCTTACAAAGTTTATAGTCGGGAACTAAAGGGTTTGGGAAATACTTTATGGTCACCGGCCGCGGGACCCGATATAGAGGCTGCGCCGGTGGCCATACAGTGCTTTCACATCTCTGTCGCACACTTTCCGCCCGACAATTGGTTTTATTTTATTTAATTAATTGTTTAGAATTTATTTAAAAATTGTTTTTATTTTTGCATAAGTTTATTCTTTTATTTGCAAATATTGCTATTTGCATAAATTTTTATAGATTTACATAGTTAATAATTGTGTAATTAATAAACTTTTATAACAGATGTGTTGTATATCAAAAAATAATTATAATTATTAATTACAAATATAACACTTATTATTATTTAATAGATATGGAGGTTATGGTAGATATGGTGGTTATGGCGGATATGGAGGTTATGGTGGTTATGGCCGGTAATATAAGATAATAATAAATGTTGTTATAAATTATTAATTTGTGTACATTTATTAAAATTGTTTAACAGTGGATACGGGGGTTATGGTGGATTTTATGGATAAAAATTAAACATATCACATCCTGATCACGGATTCTTGGACTTAATTAATAAATATTTATTTCTAATATTAGTTTTTAATTTATTATTATTTCAAAATTGATTATTTATTTTATGTATACATTAAATAAATGTTATTTATTATTTAAAATTTTCAAAAAATAAAATAAATAAATTATTTAAAGAATTTTAAACATACAAATGACTACCATTAATTAATTAATTAATAATTACAAATAAATTTAAAAAAGTTTCTACTTTATCACTTGTGTGTGTTTTTTCATACAATTAATGAACTTTTAGAATTTAATTAAATAATATATACGGTATCTGTGCTTTACTTTCACATTACATTTACATATTGGGCACTAAAATCACAATTAATTAAATTCATATCAATTGCAATCAGATCCAAGTTGACAAATAACAATACATAACTACTGATCAAAACAGGTAAGCATAATAATTATTAATTAATCATGGCCACTTTTATACTTTCATTTTTCTAATTATGGTAATTCTTCAACAGTAAACACTATTCAACTCAAAATTTATGACAAACCATATGTGGTGTTCAAAACACAGCCATTCAGTAAAACTCTAACCACCGGTTGATTGCAACTAATGTCTGACCAAACAGTCGTCGGTATTATCACCGATACTGTTCCCAAAGTTCGGAAAAAACAAAATACTTCGGCCAACTAAACATGCGTACAGTTTCATCAGTGGTTAACATTAATTGTTTTAATACATTACATGATTATTAACCCAAAGACTTGCATCCAACCCATGAACACGATGTTAAACATAATATGACTGTTCGCTACAACACTGGCCAACACTATCACAACCGATGGCGACCACACTGTTAGCGCACTTCCGATCGTTGTGTCTATGGCTGAACCCAATGCTGAGCCGTACGCACACTATCATCGACTCCGAAGCTCAGCCCTACCCTATCTTAGCCTTAGATAAAGATGGGCTCTCACACTATCTACCGGTAGCCTAAACACAGGCAACCGGACCTATATTGACCGCTTACAATGTTTATAGTCGGGAACTAAAGGGTTTGGGAAATACTTTATGGTCACCGCCGCCGGACCCGACATAGAGGTCGCGCCGCTGGCCATACAGTGCTTTCACAGCTCTGTCCGCACACTTTCCGCCCGACAATTGTTTTTATTAATAATTTAAATTCAATATTTATACCATAACTTCTAAGTTACAATTAAATAAAAATTCATTTTGTAATTATTTAACAGTTACATATTAAATTACAATTTTAAATTATAAAAGTATAAATAAAAGTTATAATTTGAATGTTTTGTAAATTATAATTTATAAGTTAGAACCTTTATAACTAACTAATAATTTAAAAATTTCTAACTCATAAACTAAACATTTTATTAACAATTTTCAAAAACAAAGTCTCTCTACTCGTGTCGACTAAACTCTTGGATCAAGTCTTTGATTTTGTCGCGATTCAGATGCAAGAGTACAGCCGTAGCCAAGAGGGCAACGCTGGCCACGGCTACCGACACACCGATCATCACATCGTATTTGTCAAACTGAATGTCCAACTCTTGGCGACGGGTGTCCGCAGAGGACAGACCGTCCGCAGCCTTACTCTTACCGCTCGTTACAGTTGTGGCGGCTTTCATATGAAACCGCGGCCTAACTCTCGCCGACTCTGATGTCTTTGACACCGCTTTTGCATCACTCGAGGTCTTCGATGCCTTGTCTTCGGCCGACTTCTTCGTGTCGGGCATTGGTTTTCACAAATCGGTTACAGATTTATATCATTTATCACAATTGGTTTTGAGGTTTTAATCTGAAATAACTGTCTGTTTATAAAGTTATTTGTTTTGCAATTATAATTAATTCAAATAAAATTGAATTTAAAATAGTTGCTAACAAAGAAAGCGCGTTAAAAATTATATTGGTTATTTTGTGACAATATTATTATTTTATTAATTTAATTACATTCAATTTTCAGTAATTACATTTGTTTAGTTTTTTGTTTTACATTTATGAAAGTAATTACATAAATATCCTTATAATTTTTAATAACCAATATCATTTTAATGTTTTATATAATTAGTTTTTAAATAAATTAAAATTATTATCAATTAACAACTACAATAAGATAAATTAAAATCTCTCTCTCTCTCTCTCTCTCTCT